GACAGACAGTATCCAAAGTGTTACCGGGCGATTCGTGCGCAACTTTGTGTTTTATCATTTTTGTACAATTCTAGGGGGGAGCAAATAACCAATTGACATAATATACTAACTGGTATAGAGTAAGGGTTTAATATTCTGAAAGGGCCATTTACTTTATGATAAGACACCTCCCAGAACCGTCCATCCCAGAAAATGTATACTAAGGGTATATTATCCCAAAACAGTTTAGTCAGGCACATTCCATATCGTGATATTTAATACTTAAAAGGGCCATCAAATTAATATTCGGCTAGGTTGAATTGGGACATAACTAATTGCATATTGCTTAGTGCGGCAAAATAAAACTAGTGCACGAGCGTAGAAAGCCTAAAGCCTGCTTTTCGGTACAGAAATGTGAAGCAAGAGCGGCCCTATTTCGTACCTCATTTCCTTCGAAAGCTCCCCGCCTTTTCAATCTGATGCACCGGCGGTTCCCAAGCACGTCAGCTGAGCCCAGCTCACGGATTGAACATGAGCACTGCGTAGAACGGATGCATGCACTCGTCAACAATTAATCTGCCTATGATTATTTGAATTTGCGTTCGTGGTCAATGAGTGCCGTGACGGCACTTATCATCACCTGAGAATGACAAGTTGTATGGTGTGCTTAAAAAAACAGTGAAAGCTTGGTTTAATCGCTTTCAATGCACATCATGACCACGTGATTTCTCATTCCGGTTTTGAGTTGAGGATTAAAGCTAAGGAGGAACAAGTTGAAAAATCAGTTCATGGTTCCTTTAATTCCAACGCAGTTAATCTCAAGCTCCTCATAGCAAAGTCATTTTTTGTGCCAAGACCTTTGTCTCCAGGACGACCCATGTTATTGGGAACAGACTTGTACACGTTACTGAAAAATAGTAAGGAATTACAGTTACAATTACTCAAGGCTAAATTGTAATTTATTACAATTACAATTACCCTCCCATAAAAGTAATTGACCGTTACCCCCAAAAGTAATCCGTTACTTTCGTGGCGTTACTTTCAACAATATTTTCCTCAATTAAGAAACAAAGGGGAGAAAGTTATTCGAGTTTTTATTGTTGCCAGCTGTTCCATTTATTGACCTTGAGAATTTTGAACAACAGCTGACTCACGAAAGCCTCGTCAGACATTTTGCGTTATTTCTTACTCAATATGTCGACTGCTACGCTGAACACCATTTGGACTGAGGCACTGGATGGGAGTGCCATGTTGTTCCTCACGAATGTTTTATGCTCTGCATTGAGCTTTTTCAGCAAAGCAATGGAGGTACTTTTTACCTCGAAGATAGAGCAAAGCTTCGTCGTTGCAGCCGTTGCCTAATATTTGAAAGTTTTAGTAGAGTTAGTAACAGTAAGGTGATAATTAAATAATAAATAAGGTTTGGCTCGATATTTTCTTCCTTTGGTTCTGAACAGGTCGAGCCTCGGTCGAGATGTTGGTGAATAAGAAAAAGTTTCCAATATTTAAATACAAGTAATCGAGAAAAATACAACAGGACACTCATAACAAGAATTAATTAGAACGTTGGTTAAAAAAATGAAATGTAAACGTACGTTTGCCATGTGTACCTTTCTTGGTGCCGTTCAAAAACGCACGAAGCACGGACCGACTGCAGTTTACTCCGGTGTTCTCCAGATAGACGTCCGCTGATGCCACGGGCAGCGAAGGGTAGAGTACTAAGTAAGCCGCGCTATGGCCCCACTCACGAGTTTCACTCTCTCCTCGAGACCAGAATATCAAGTCTACGTCAGCCACCATTATGTTCTATTTGTAAAAATATCTGCTTGAGATAAGATGCGCCCTGTTGGGGTAAACACAGGAAGAAGAAAAAGTAAGACTATTACCATTTTCGAAGTGCTCGCAAAAAGCTGACTCACAAAAAGGGTAACTGAGATGCGATAACCTGGCTGGAATTCACAAATAAGGTGGGCCAACCCTAGAGGTTGAACCACAAAAAAAATTTAATAGCTTTTTAACCGGGTCAAATAAGGTGAAAGAAGCAGAAAAAAAATCCTGTATTCTAAGAGAACATGATGAGTGTGCATCGACGAACGAGGATGCTTGGGGCAATAAAACCTTCACATATCATCACATCTCTTTTAATGGATTTTAGCGTAAACGGAGCGTTGTCTCGTGTTGTGACATTACAAAAATGGTTGTAGTCACTATAACCGAGAAGGACATTGTTAATTCATGTCTGCGCACTTACTGCCTTGAGCTTCTCGAAGAGGCATACAATCACTTGGTCACTTCCTCTCCCGCCTTCGAATGCCAAACAAAGACAAAAAAAAAAAAGCGGATATAACTTGCCTTTTTATTTTTGTAGAGATGTTTATTTGGATCTTTTGACATTGTTGTTAGGGTCTTAAGAAAGATTCAGGGGCTTGGTGGTGAAAAAAAAAAAAAAAAAAAGACTTTTTTGAATTGAAGAGTGCCTAGCCTCCCTCCCATGTCACTGCGCTCAACTTTACCAAAATGATAACGACCTTTTTAGAAGGAAAGCGGGGGGGGGGGGGGGGGGGGGGGGGGGCTCGTCTGGAAAAATATGTAACGGATTACAAGGAATCCGTTACGTCAAAAATGTAAGGGAATTACTTTAAAATCACCCTAGAAAATATGTAATTTTTCCGTTACTAAATTACTAATAAATGTAAGGGATTACAAGTAATTTCGTTACTTGTAACGGATTACGTACAAGTCTGATTTGGGAACATCTAGCACGCAGACAATTTACATGTCAAAACAATTGAGGCCTTACCAGCAACAAGCTCACAAATGTAACCATGCTCTTGTACCAAAGCCCAATTCCAAGAGGTAAGTGAATCAATCTGGAATCTCGATATCGACAGCGTCACGCATGAATGCCTTAACGGGTACAGTACTTTGCAAGAACACATCCACAAACGAAGCGACGAGCACGCAGAAGTGCCAAACAATGTACAAACGAGACGTAACTTGTAATAACGGCTGTCAAGGATGCAGAATGACGCAAAACAGAATCAACGAAGCATGGCGAGAGATTATTACTTCATTATAATCTCTGGGATGAAATGACTTTGGTATGAAGTTTCCGGGATGGACTGTTCAGGGAAAAACCACATGGGATGAAGTGAGTAAGCCCTGAAACGGCTCACGATATTCCAAAAGCTTTTTTAGTATTAGAAGTCGTGATATAAAAAGACCCTAGGATAACTCTTTTTGCGATAATCTTGAAATGATATTGGTATGAAATGTCCGGGTTGTACAATTTGTGGATGAAGTGACCTGGTGGGAAGTGTGGTAGATCCATCTATCGACACTAGAAGAAAGCTGCCATGGCCATCTTAAAAAAAAAAATCCCACTTTTGAATACGACGAGGTGTACCTCAACAGCTTAGAACGAGGTCTTTAGACCAATTTTGCAAGTAGTGCATTTTACCTACGGTAGCATAAAACCTCCAAATATATTATAGGTACCCTAGTGATATCAATGACATAAATATATTCAATAAACACATAAACACATAAGACTATGCAAGAACTCACAAAAGCCATATATAACGGAGATAATTTTTATGTTTATTTGAACTCATGAAGTATGATCATTTAATTTTTAATAACGTATAGAAGGACGACAAATAGGATTGAACGGCTGTTTATTTTCAGTTACCTTTATTTATTTACTCTCTCTCTCTCTCTATGATTGACTATTCCTTGCACATGCACATCTTTACTTATTCTGAATTCAGAGTAGAAAAAAAGCAATTTTTGTGATAGAATATAAATAGAGAAGTTATCATGGAGTGTTGTATCATGGGGTTGAGGAAAGGTTAAAAGGAACACTTCATGATTAGCCAGCACTATAACGTGACGGCGAGGATGACGGTGAGGAACGAGGATTGAAGTGAACATCAAACATTCACAAAACATTAAAAAAATACATAACTGCATTGCATTGAAGAGCCGGAACAGGACGCCATTAAGCCTTGTACACTCTCAAGAAAAAAGGGTGTCAAAAGGTGTATCCTTACACCCTTTGTCCCATATAATAAACCCCCAAACTTCAATTCGACATACAGCGCCCTACAGTCGAACAGACGGCCCAAAATTTTACGAGGGGCTTGATAGCCGTGTGGTTCAACTTATTAAAATAGGTAATGTACGTTTTACTGAACACGAAAAAAATAATCCGGGTTTTCTTGGCCCTACTGTAAAAACTCTGTGCTTTCTTTATGTGGTCTTTGATACGTGCTTTAGCTATTTAAAATGTTGTACCACACGGCTATCAAGCCCCTCGTCAAATTTCGAGCCCTCTGTTCGACTGTAGGGCACTGAACGTCGAATTGAAATTCTGGGGTGTATTATATGGGACAAAGGGTGTAAGAATACACCTTTCGACACCCTTTTTTCTTGAGAGTGTACGTGGGTCAAGTCAGTCCATCGTGTCACAGCTCCCAAACGTCATATGCTTCTAAAAGGGCGTACGCAACAACCATCGATCTATGCAGACATCGATGCGCAGCCTGTCAGTTTTCTTTATATTGTGGACTGACCCCACTACCAAAGACTTGACGGTAAAATTTCCTCCGAGTACTAATTTGTGGTCGACTTAAAAAGGAAAAAGAGCACATTGGCATCCGGTGGACGCAAATGCATGATAGACACAAAACGTTACGTTGATCGAAGCTTTACACCACTCCAAAACTGGCAGGACTCGACGTTCTTGTTTCCTCTGCCTTCGCGCAACCCGAAATTCCACAAGACCGCTTTCGGCGAAAGGGAATCGCCTTGAAACGACTTCTCCAGTCAACCGTATCTAAACGTTTGGCTCTTGCAAAGAGAGTAAAAGTAATGGCAACTTTACGTTTAACAATGCACCTCGAAACGGTGCTGAGCAACATGATCGATTCTTTTCAACAGCTCGCAGTATATAAACTTTGAAACCCTCTGCAAGAAGTCAGTCACACTTGCAGCAAGCTCCAAAGGAAAACCTTACCACCATGAAGTCTCTTGTAAGTTCAATACTCTGAGCTTCTACGCCAATGTTTGAATTCTTACCGCCAACGTGAGTCTTGTCCTCTTACGCAAGATACGAAGATGATATATCGTCATGTCAACCTACCTGCAGATAACATGTAAACCTTATCCTTCGCATTAACTAAGAGACTATACACACTGACAGGATGAGAGGGGCTCGTCTCTTTCGGATGTCCGGTCTGTATCATGCACTCTTCGCCCCCCGTAGTTTATTTAGTGTACTTGCACGCTCGAAGCTTATGAGATGTCGAAGCATTAGCGGGGGTAAGAAGCTCGTACCAGAAGCGGGAAAATGAAAAGGCCTTCAGCCTTTCTCATTCTGCAATGATGATGATGCCTAGCGAGAACCATAACCAAATGTAATATTTTATCTGGTATGCGGAGTTTAACGTATGCTTGGCATCCTCGTTGTCTCTGTGCATCTATTACCACTTGATTCAATATCAGCCATATCCTTTGATGATCCGCGTCTGCATACGCTGTGCGTTTTACAAGTACGGCCTCTGGGTGCCTTCGTTTAGCGGTTGATGGGTGAACTTTACAAATGTGAATTGGATTGAATTGAATTATGGAAACTTTTGTATAGGACAATTTCAGTGTAAAAGTGATACTAAGATGGGTCCCCATTTACCAGACAGCAGCTTTTTTATGTGTGTGTGTGTGTGTGTCTGTGTAGAGTGTATTCCTACCCGGCGTGACAAGAATGGTTTTTGAACAAAGGTTAATTGCATAGGTGTATAGAAAGAACAGATCTCTCCGGACTCCAGGGAAGGTAACACGGAGGTACTTGTTACCGCATCAAGAGCTGTTACAGTTTTATAGCTTTCACAATCTTATATTGATAATGGTATGATTGGTGTTAAAATTTAATATAAAATAAGAAAGGAGTAATTTTGGTTACCGTAATTACTCATTGTTCAAGGACTTCGAGTACTATATAGTTCTTTCTTTCCAACAGAAAATAAAATGTCCTGGAAGTGGCTACAATCTTTGATATATATTAACAGCCGTGTTCGAGGAAGCTTCAAGAAGGTCCCTCACTTGGGGAACACATGCCACACAAGCTAGATTTTTTTCCTTTAAGAAATTTACAGTGGGTGCAAGAGATCAAATGCGCGCTCACGCGGATATATATATATATATATATATATATATATATATATATTGCTTGGTCGCGCGACAGATACGAATACATATCTGTCCAAACGTGCCACGACATAACCTGCAATAACTGCCTATAATGTATCCCGTCTACGCAGTTATTACGTTTATTAAGTTGTCAGGGTTCATAGACTGTGAGTATACATAAAAAATTATTGACACTGACTGCTCAGAATAAAATGAGCGTGGTCACCTTCGAACGTCTTATTGCCACAGGGAAGACAAGTTCCAGAATCGCCCCATACTAACGACCAGGAACCAATGAAGAAGTTACCACACCGACAAACTTAGTCACACTGTGATGTAAGCGAGTAATCCAGGACGTGTTCAGTTAATAACCAATTTTATGTGACACTATATGCTGGTTTGTTTTTATTTTTAAGCTCTGCTGCATGCTCTTGACGGTTGTCCTTGCCGTGGCCCACGCTGGTTACGGACATGGTGGTTACGGTGGTCACGGAGGCTACAGTCATGCCGTGACCCACCACTACGACAACCAGAGGGCGCATTATGGTCATGGAGGATACGGCGGTTACGGTGGACACGGTGGATACGGAGGATATGGCGGCTACGGTGGTTACGGTGGTGGCTACGGTGGTGGTTACGGTGGTTATGGTGGGCATGGAGGATACGGCGGCTACGGCGGCTATGGCGGCTACGGCGGCTACGGCGGCTACGGTGGCCGCGGCGGCCATGGCGGCCACGGCGGCTTCTTCGGATGAGCGGTTTGACGGTGGGCTGTGCCTGCGGCTGCAATGTAATTTATAAAGGGATCTCCGAAACGTTTAAAATAAAGAATAATATTGCAACGTTTGGTCTCCAGCTTGCGAAACTTCTCTAGATGATGGCTCTTTACATGTTCCGATATATTCACGTAAGTCCTGGCCATTGGTTATTGTGATTTACTAGTATAGTTGTGATCTTGATAGTGACAAGTTTCCGGCAATTAGTGAAATTCAAAACGAAAAATGGGAAGGGAAAGTTTGGGGATGAATTTCTTATAGTGAACTTTAAACGTCACTCTCTTCGTTGCTCCAGCGGCAACTGTGCTGGTTGCCGTAACAAGCGAGATGTGGGGTCTGACATAATAACGTTTGAACTCTACGCAGTGCTTCAAAAATGAAAGAATAATAGCCCAAGTGACGCCTAGCTGAGATCAGTTTGACAGGGCATGCAAACCGGGATAATTCGTCGTTTATACTTACGGTTCTATATTAAAGTGGAGCACCTGGTTTCTGTGTCTTGTGATATATCGGAATATCTACAAAGAAGACCGAGTGAATGAAAACAAGAATTAATTTTATTAGAGCATCGACTGCCCTGGCTGAGTTGTTCATAGGCGGGAGAAGTAAAGTTAAGTGGTCGTTGGGTTTGGAGTGGGCGATTTCGTCAATACTAGATGAGGTGACCTGTCACTGACCTTTTCAAGTAACCCACCAGTTAATTGAGGATGGCCCTCCTGTGCTGTGGGGAGCACTTGGGTCGTATCTACTTGTATAGAGTCGTCAGTCTGCCTTTTTCTTGGAGAGCTTTCAGCTCTTTGCTTTTCTGTCTTCTATAGTCTAGTTCATGGAAATTCCAGATTATGGGTAGCAGAGTTGTTACGTTGTTCACGATGCAGGTCTTGCACATGGTTTCTTCAGGTTCTTCAAAGGAGAGAGAAGTTATCATCACGTTAGATGTTAAGTAGATTAAAAAATTAACAAATTTGCCATGCGTGAATGTTTCGTTTACGCGGAAGCCCTGGACAGACTTCACCTTGAAGGTTAATGCCCGTTTCTTTTTTAATTGCATCCTTGCTGAAATGCTGGAGTGGTCACGCTGCTATGCTCTCACGAAGAACATTCTAGGTGTTCCAGCTCACAAGGGCCAACAGACGTACAAAATACGCGCAGAGAAAATAAATAGAGCCGTTGAAAAAAATCCAAGCCGCTTCCGAAAACAAATGTTTCGAAGTACACCTGCGGGAAAATTGCTCTTGCATACTCTAGGCGGCGTGCTTTACGCTTTCCCTCTGGACACATTTTTCGCCGTCGATTTGTTTTACTGTCCTCGCTCTTGGAATGCCGGGCTAACGTTGGGAGAACAAAAAACGGGTCAAGCATTATAGTCGACAACCATTTTGGGGGTGAAAGTTAATTCTAGGGGGAGGGTGTGGTTCGCAAGTTCGACGCCGGGGTATATATAAAGCTGGCTTCAACACCGCGAATATCACCGTCACTTGTTTCCACCGTAAAGACTCTTGGAAGTACTTCGGTCACCCCACCATCGTCAACGCAAAAAATGAAGACTACTGTGAGTTTTCTGAGTGCTTCTACGTGATGTGTTCGCACATGGTTGGATATTTGTTTATAGGGGATAACAATGATTCGGGCTAAAGCGTGCGCGTTTATTAATCGGAAAACATTATGCAAGATTGCGGAGGGACGTAAGCTCTTAGTTTCTCTTCTATTTATTTTGCCCTGTCAATTGCCATGCCATTGCAACTGACAGCCTAAGAATTGGAGGGCGTGGCCCGTCCCGAAGATCTTATCTCTTTGGAACCAATAAGATTGCGGCCCCAGCAGATAAGAACGACAAAGAACCAGTCACAACGTGAGAAGCGTGATCATATTAGTCCACGCCCGGATTATCTTAACTAGTCTGATTATAGCAATAACTATATAGTTTGTGACAGTCTCAGAAAGGCAGGGTGCGGATTATTTATTATGTCCAAGTTTGTTCCTCTGTGACTAGATCTTCAGCGTTCTTATCAGTTGATACTGCAATGTGAATTGTGTGCGAGAAATGATACGATGAGCGGGGCTCGGTACGCCTTGCGGTTCGGACGCAGTCAGTGATTATGTGGAGGGCAAGTTTGTCTGTTTTTTCTCGCAGGGGGTTGGAGTGACGTCAAAGAGACGTCGAGTTCTTAATAATTCTGATTGAAGGAGAGTGGGTATGGGCCTCAAGGCAGCTTGATTTGAGGTCCACACCCACTATTCTTCTTTAATCGGAGCCAATCAGAGCTTGGCGTCGTTCTGACGTCACTACTATCCCTACAAAAGAAGCAGACCAACATGCGCTCCGCATGCATTCTATAGACGCTCTGCTCGGAGTCACCAGATATAAATAATCTACGCGCGGTAACGCTTTCTCTACGTTGTCGTTCACTGCGTAGCATACCGCAGGGATTGGATACATATATCAGCGCTACGCCAGGAAGTGAACGTGCCGTCCGTATTTGTATAGGTAACTATACGCTACGGTCCGTGTCACCCTACTTCCGACCGCAGCCGACAGTATACGATCCGATAGAGCCGTATTAACGCAGCGCCAAAATGTGCCTCGTCACGGCGCTCGTCGCTTTCATGCGTTTGCTACCACCAACTAAATCAATCTTGCGCACAATAAATGTTCCGCGATCTTATATTTTTTTGTGTTTATTCTTTATGCGTGATTGGCCAAACAAGTGATAAATCCACAAAGGCAAGGAGCGTCGTGCAGATTCCGTAGGACCGAGGTCTTGCGATCTCTTACGACGAAAAGACACACACACTGGCACGCTGGCCCCACCTATATATATATATATATATATAAGGTAGAACTGTCTTTTATTAGTGCGAAGGTTTCGCAGCATTTTGCTGAATTAAATGTACTCTCTATAAGAAATGGTCGTTTATGACGGAAGCTTGTGCGAGTTGATGATTCATCTTAAGATTACAGAGCACTAGACGAGGGAAAAAAAACAAGAGACACACAAAGACGCAAACACAAGCGATGATTTTTTTATTAATCTTCTGCTTCTACTTCTTCGCGATACTGTTTACATACCAGATAGGTTAAAAAAAAAAAAAAAAGGAAACAAAATTCTCTCGTCGCATTGTCTTGGTGGCGCAAGTTGCCGCCCGATTGAAGCCGTTCAGCCATATCCATGTACTCATCCATCCTTCTATCCATGCATCCATTTTTTAGAAATTCCAGGAGGTTTCAAAGCACATGGTCGTAAGCAGTAACAAGAGTTTGAATGAACATTAACGGTGTACAATTCTGCAGCTGTGCACATTGGTTGTTCTGGTCTGCATCACCCTGGCTTCCGCTGGATACGGTGGCTTCGGCTACGGTGGCCTCGGCTACGGAGGTCTCGGCTACAAAGGCTACGGAGGCTACGGAGGCTACGGTGTCGGTCTCTCCTACCACTTCGACAACCAGAGGGCGGCACCGTACTTTGGTTACGGCGGATACGGTGGATACGGCGGGTACGGTGGCTTCGGCTTCGGGAAAGGATTCTACGGCTAAACTCGTATTGACCAAAAGGGTATGTCGAGTATTTCGTGCTTCTTATAAATGAGAGGAACCCCACATCGGTTGTCTCAGAGTGACGTCACAACACGCACGCTGCTGCTCTTTACTTGCCCCTGTTTTGATGCACATTTTTAATTTGTCTCTTGCACAAGGACACTTTCCCGAGCTTTGGAAAGTGTCTGTAGTTGTTCCTATTTTTAAAAACGGTGATTCGACATTGGTTAATAATTACCGTCCTGTGTCATTGTAGTTTTGCAAAAGTTTTTGAAAAAGTAATATATAAACGTGTTTACTTCTACCTTAGCCCAATGATATCTGCATCTCAACACGGTTTTTTGAAGGGTAGGTCAGTTGAGTCAAATTTATGCTCGTCTTTAAGTTACTCTGCACCAGTGGTGTCAAGTAGGGGACAAGTAGATGCAATTTATTTTGACATGTCGAAAGCGTTCGATTGTGTATGTCATAATTTACTGCTACAGAAGCTTGCCTTGCATGGTTTCAGCCCGCATCTTTGCGCGTGGTTTTCCACGTATCTCATTGGTCGTCGAAACTCTGTTCGCATTTCTGATAGCTACTCTGACGAGTTTATTTCAAGTTGTGGTGTACCCCAGGGATCCATCCTGGGACCACTTTTATTTCTTTTGTTCATAAATGATCTTGCCTCCCGTATTACAGATGCAAAAATTCTTTTGTTTGCCGATGATGTTAAGCTTCTTATAAATGTGAGGTCACTATCTGATTGCTCCCGTCTTCAGGCTGACATAGAACGTGTTTCTGAATGGTGTGCCGAAAACCGCTTGTCACGTAACCCCAAGAAAACTAAATGAATTGTGTTATTCAGAAAGCGTGACATACTTTATTTTTTATATAATTTGGGAGGGGCCCCGATTCCTCGGGTTCCTTTTATCAAGGATCTTGGTTTATTCATCGATAGTTCACTGTCCTTTAATAATCACGTGTCTATAACCGTTAATGCAGCACTGAGAGTGTTGGGAATGATTTCACGGTTGTGTCGCCAGTTTTCTACTCCCCGTTGTTTACTGCACTTGTTTAAGATATTAGTGAGGTCAAGATTAGAATTTGGCTCAATCATTTGGAAATCATTAACGTTATCTCAGGCTCTTTCAATATAAAATATACAAAAACGAATGATTAGAATTGTGTATGACCGTTATATTGGAAGGAAATATTTTTACAATTATGAAACGTTACTTGTTCAATTTGCGTTGCACAAGCTTGCTGTGCGGAGGCAATACATAGATTTTATATTTCTTCACAAAGTTGTACACGGAGAAGTGAATTCAATTGATCTGTTGCGTTTCATATACGTTCATGTTTCGTCAAGGGTCAGTAGGAATGTGCTAACCTTTTACCCATCTTGTATGTCATCTGTGTCTCCTTTATCGAGAATCCAATTAGCATTTAATAAGACCCATCTTGACATTTTTCTTTGTTCAAACCAGTTTATGTTTTATGTGCGAAAGTGGATGTCCTTGAATTACCTATTGTTAGGCGGGTTCTGTGTAGTCTTTCAGTTTCTGTTATCTGTTTATATTTTCATTGTGACAAGTATTTTAATGTTTGATATAGTGCTGTGTTTTAATTTTTTTTGTGTGCACCACATCATAGACTGTAAAGTTGTTTGTGGGCACGGAAAATATTTATTATTATTATTATTATTATTATTATTATATACCTGGCAAATCACTGGTAGAAGTGTTTTTTGCAAGTCTATGTAATATTCATTTGTCAAGTTATTTTCTTGTCTTCTCCCGGCCTAATAATAATGCCCACAAATAACATCGAAAGTAATTTGATAAGTATGTAACAACACTTATTGTCTCGCTTGCGTTTGCATAGCAACAAGGCGTCATCTCTCTAAAACATATCTGAGAGAGTTCACAACGTTGACAAGATGATCGGCCGCAAGCCAACGAGAATTTTACGTATAAAAAAAGGAAAAAGAGCGCAAAAAAAAAAAAAAGGCAAACAGAAGTAGAGGAACACGACGAATGCTTACTAGCAACAGACGACTTACTTCTCTTCGTCTTTGCTTTCTTTATGTGTGCTCCGCTTTTTTCAGTTAGTGAAACCAACTAGCCCACCAATTCATTTCGATTCATCTGTGTAAAGACAAACACGCTAAACTCACTGACAACCTTAAGAAACTTAAGGCCACATGACTTATTATATTCACGCCCGGCGCTCGCTACGCCCAGCGATTCTTAAGTTATATTAGTGACCGTACGGAACGCAAGTTCGTCCGCTTCTTGCGAACCTTTTGTATGTTTGTTTATGCCCCAAATGCGCCCCCGTGCGCTTGTTTCCTACCCCGACCCCAATCAATGATGGCGTGAGCTCGGCTGCTTCGCAATCGCGCGTTCTCTACGCTTCATCTATGTTGCCCTTTGATTGGCGGGTTCCCTTCCTGCGTTCCGACGCATCAAAGACGCACTTTAGAACACTTGCTCGCCGTACAGTTTGTACATAAGGGTGCATAGGAACAATATTCGTCAGGACTTGAATATTTTCACTACACAGTAAAGCTTTTCTCTCTCTCTTTCTTGCGATTACGTAAGGCAAACGTGAGAAGGTGTCAAATTATCGCGACCTCGCTGTCCGTTTCGTGTTGAAATTGACGCACAATTGGTTCCCAAGTCCGCGCATGCAGGCGTCAATGCCTGTACACTCGTCCTTGAGTTCCGAGCACGGAAAGTGCGGTCGCTCGTAGTTATCCAATCCCCTGACCTTATTTTTTTTTCTTTTGTTCGTTTCCACCCTCGTTGCATTCGCGCATTTACCGGAACCACCCGGGCGTGACCGCTCAAACATGTGGGGCTAGCTCGCCTTTACCGGGACGAAAACGTTTCTTTCCGGAATGCAGACTTTGGGCTTTACTAGGCTGCCTAAATGTAGGGAAAATCGTGGATGTTTTTCGACGCAATCGCACGTTCTATTTACCCACTTGTTTGTGTGTTGTCGTTTATTTGCGTCGTTTCTTTTCTAGATAGACCCGTGGAAACTTCGATGGACCGTCGGATGGCTTCGGTGTAACTTCCTGCAATAAACTCTCCTCAGCAGCCCTCTTTCTCTGTTACACCTGCGTTATATTTGGAATGGAGAGCGTGGCGGTAAGGGGATAATATAAATAATAGGAAGAACATGAAACACATGGATGGACTAGACGATCGCCTCGCTCGTCTTTGCGTTTTATGTTCATCGCATTATTCGTATCACCTGCGTCCTGTTCTGATTCATTCGCGGATATGTTCTACATGGCGTCTCTGGGCGATATCCCGTCGTAACAAGATTCGCATCAATAAACCACTAAACCGAATTGTATGAAACTCTTCACAAAGGTGTCTTTAGGTGATGCGTTTTTCATTTATAAATGTAGATTTCTAAAAAAACAACAAAAAACTGAAGCATGAACAAAATCAGTTTTTTTGCTTCCCTATAAAAAAAGGAAAACAACAAAAAAAGTCTGGTCGACGTGTCATCATTCACAAATGGCATAACATAAAGCAAAAACACGAAAGCTTCTTTGAGATGATTACCCGAAGCAGATCCAGCCAATTCGAGCGTGTATGGTATCCATATGCAAGTCTAAATCTGTTCTGCAGATTTTTTTCTTTTTCATTTTTCTCTTTGTATAAATTAAGAATAAAAAAAAACGTTTCTTTTTAGATTTAAAATTTAAACCTAGACTCATAAGTTTTGAGTATGATTCATGCACCACCTATAAAGACCGTTGTGGAAACGTCCATTGCACTTCGTTTACATATTTATTTATACGAATTGTCTCACGCCTCTATAGTCACTGCGATGCTTATGAAACGCAGGTACCTGCAGCGAGTCCCGTGAATAGAATTAGACCTCCGCAGCCAATGAAATTGCGGCGTGAGCGGTTCAGAACGCCGAAGACCGAATAACGAAGCAAGAAGCGTGAACACAATAAACCACTTTTTGGCAATAAAAACAAAAACCACAACATTTTTTTTAATGCTTATTCGGGACACGGTCAAATTCAAAATAATTTGCCGCGCAAAAAAAAAAAAAAAAAAAAAAAAGATTTGCTGTATATTTACGTTATTAGACGCAATCTAGGCAAAGGTCACGGCCCGCTCTAAGCCCCTCCCACTAATCAGTGGCCCCGCCCATAACTACTGGATTGGCTTGTCTGCTCGGCCGAACACGCTATAACAAGCCCAGGGTCTCCCTTTCGTGACATCCGGTGCCTCCAGTCTGCGGTCTGACACAGCCTGGTGGTCGTGCGAGCAGACGCGCAGCAGCCTCCGGCATCGTCTGCTATTTTACCGCCGTCTATCGTCGTCTGTAATGCCTGTGGGACTACGACGCGAAAGACGCGCGCGTCGGCGTCCGCTTTCGCCTCTGTCCGTCTGCTATTCCGCCCTCGTCTAAAAAAACGATTCTGCAGCGCTCACCACGAAAGTGGCTTTCCAAAGTTCTATTATGCACGAGCTGCGGTCAGATACAAGCGTCGGCCAGCGTGTATCGATGTGTGGTAATAAGCGACCGAGAGAACTAAAAATAAACAAACGAAATAATTATGCAGCCCTTCTAGCTTTATTGTTCTTGATATTTTCACATGGCATCTGCTAGCAAGGTGAATGAGCGTCGTGACGCAGAATTCAAAAGCGACGTAAAAATAATCGCCTTGTTAGGCCAGGTGCACTCGAAAACTGGAGAGCGAAATGATGGGAACAATCCTAGACTTACTTGATGCGAGCCGAACGCGCGATTGCCTCCAGCCAAAATGGCTCCCAAATTCTTACCACATGTGTAGGTATCTTCTCGGTATTGCAACGAAACCGTGATCCCCATCATGATGATTGCACAATTTATAGAGGAACGGGGCCACATTTACGGGAATCAACCCTTTTATACGAAATTAACACGCGCGACCGAACAAATCAAGCGAGATCGAGCAACATACTCGACGTGGTACGCTAGGCCCGCTACGAAAGCAAGCACCCACACAGCGCTTCCAAACTCACCTACACGAGACAGTGGTTAACTGCAAACTAGGTCGGTTGAGATCTTCTAAACACCTTGGTGAACGCTGAACTACTCGGGTCCATAAAAATAAACGAGGTCAACGGGCTGTGCTCGCTGAGCTCACAGCGAACGCCGACAGTCATGTTTGTTATCGTTTCAGTATGAAACGAAAAGCGAATCTCGAGATATCTCCGAAAACAACACTTAAGACTGCTTGCGTGTAGGAATGCACAAGGATTCCTACCCTACAAGCAGCGCGCCCCGTCTTTCTACCGCACACGGCGCTCCGGCGGTGACATTAAACTCCCCAACTGCGCAGGCGCTGGCGAACTCCGCCGACTCAACGGCTCCCGTGACGATGCATCTGCGTTGCTGTGCTTTTATTTGTGTTTTGTTTCTGAGGCGCGTCCGCTTTGACCTTGAGCCTCCCGCCGGCTTCCGTGACGAAGCATCTGCGTTGCTGTGCTTTTGGCCAATGGGAATTCAGGTGCCGTTTCGCTCAGCCAATGTAAATTTAGGTGCCTTTTTTTTTCTACAGGCGGTTACAGACGACGCCGGCTTCGCCCCATGGGATAGTTAATGCTTTGGCAATAATAATGACTCTATCTAGATTATTTGTTTCTCAAACATAAAAAAATAGATTAAAATACCATCGATGGCGCGGAGATACAAATTTACAACCAACCTTTCACACGTCAATCATCTCCCCAGCCGATGAGGGATGTAAGGAAATTGTAAGCACGGGGCGGTGCTTAGCGGGTTGCAACCTCCACATTAAGCACCTACATTTCGTGTAGCGGCGTAAATATTTAAAAAAATACATATGCGATATTTGTTTTTGATATACGTGTCTTTTGACATATTTTTTTTATTGCAGTGTCATTTTAATTTCTCAGTGAGTAGAGATACTTTGAATGGCAGAGCGTCTACGTTTCGAGTTATTAAAGGGCCAAAAAAGAATATTAAAGAAATATATACAACTGCTGAGTGGCGCACGTGGCTGAGAAAACGATCTGCCCCAGTAGGTTAAACAGAGTTGGGACGCTGATCAAATAGAATTGCACATTCAGTCAAACAACGCAAATAACGATAAGTATCCCTGGAGAAGGGGAACATGGGGGAACAAAGGACACACACACATTGCTAATCGCAGTGAGGTGACTGTTGCGCGACTGAAAAAATTCGCCTGGTCCTGGTATCGAACAAGAGATCTCTTCAATCTCATTTTTCAACCCTTGTTCCCTTCTCCGGGGATTATTATCGTTATTTTTGCCCAGCTCGCTTGCACCTTTGCATCGATTGCATTATCCTCGTGACGAAAATAATTTTTTTTCTTGACGGTCGCACCTTCATCTTGATCTTATAAATCGGCTGTCACATGCTGCACATTTTCTTATCAGACTTCGGCGTGCTCTACCGAGGTGTAGCAGCAGGGTCATGTCTTAGAGCATATCCATTGCTGCTAACCGGATCAACGACAATATATGTACGAATAAAATTACGATATTTTTAGCATCTCGCAAACCCAAAACAAAAGAGAAAAAAAAGGACGGCAGACACGGAGTTTTTTTTTTCGATAATTCTGCATATAGCTCTAATGAACTGATAACATGTCTGAACTTACTGGAATTCTTGTTGATCTTATGGGAGAGAGTAAGTGTGTTTTATTCTGGCGGGACTGATGTTAACACGTAAACTTTAAGCAATTTTGCTAGAAAACACTTTCTTTTTTTGTGACATAAATCTACAATCCAGGTGCTTAAGTTTTTGTTTTTGCAGATCAGTGTTCTTAGGAGCGATTTCGAAAAGCGCTTCAGTTTCGGGTCAAAGTGCCGAAATATTAGAATCGTTCTTAACTTAACTGGTGTCTTGAAATGTAAATATAGAGCAAATTTGTTTTTTGAGAGTTTGTTTTGTTGCGGACCTGTCGAGTCCAGGCCCATAATAAAGTTTTTTAAGAGCCTAGTGTTCCTTTGAGAAAGGTACTGACTGATGTCATATGAAACTATGCAAAAACATGCAGTTGGTTATACTCTAATTATACAGACAAGACAAAGTGAATAAGAATAGACAGATGCACATATTTTGTGACTGAAAAGTTTTTCTTTTTTTTTAGGTTTAATAGCATATGAAGTAACACACTTGTCCATGTCTGGTTGTGCCACACTCGAATTTTTTAAAGTCAAAGATGACTGACCTAGTTGGGAGCACACTATCTCGAGTAGAAGACTGAAAAGCATTCCACGCCACTTTGAAGATGACGTGCCCAATGGTATAGCTGAAAACTTCTTCTATAGGATACTATTAACAGAGCAATGAACTCCACATCTAGGCCAAGACATATTCAAAAAGGTGCAAGAAACCGCCATGGTTTCCTAAAAGTATTTAGTGATAATGTTTTGTGTGCTTTGCAACAAGCTAAATGCAAAACGTTTACACGTTGCCAGCGTTATGTCCAAATTTTGTAAATAATTTTTTGTATAAGACCAAAATACGTTCCTGGTAAACTGCACGTAAACACGAGCAAACAATTACACGTAAACCTTTGCACCACATACAATCGGGTACTCACACTTTCGTGGTTACGGCACCCCGTTTATTATGCACACCACAATGGTTAACTTTTTTCAATACACGATTCTATTATCTCTTCATCAAAAAGCAAAACTGTCCGAACTCGTTGTAAGTACACAAACGCCAAAAGAACAACGCGCGAACGGGGAAAATATATGGCGCACCCTTTGTTTGCTTTGAATTCATACGGCAAACGAGGTTCACCTTGAAAGCGACACTGTAAAGCTCGCACGTCAACGCGTCACGAACCATGAACCGGCCATAGAGGTGCCCCCGAAGGAAACCCATACTCCAAAAAAACAGCGCATTACAAAAATGGTGGCAGGCAACACACGCAATAGAACAGAATGGAAAGTTATTCGCGTGCTCACGAACGAGCGTAGGCGGTGGCCCGGCGTAAACCTCGAAGCAGGCCACGGTAGGTAATTGTTTCCGAAGGAACAAAGATGGCGACTAGTCACTAGGAAATGAAAGCAAGAGAGACAGGGAAACCGAGAGAGTTCGAGAGGAGTAGAGGGAGAGTATGGCGAACTAGCGGGTACGCGGCAACTTCAATCTTGACGCAGAGTTGAGGCTGCGCTACACGGAAGTAAAGAATAAAGCTGGGGAAGGGGAGGGCGATGGTCAGATTAAAATCGTGAGAGTTGGCCTGGACGATTTCTTTTTTTTGAGATCGCGAAGCTTTAGGGGGGAAGTAAGGTGTTCTTTTTTACCTTTTGCTATTGTTCTTCCGCTGGTCCTCTGATCTCGCGTTGGGGGAGCGGCCGGGCGCTAGGGGATGGAAGAGAATTTGCCTGGATGGCGGTTCTGGTATAAAAAGGCGCCGTTTCCGATAGCAACTGGGTCAGAGCGAGACAAGCAACTTTGGATTCGGTTGCTTTTGGAGTTCCGTGCTTCGGATTCAACGACGTTACCATGAGGACTCTTGTGAGTACACGAAGCATTATCGCGAATTGTGAAATTTCGAACACAATATTGCTTGGAATTAAGAACATGTCGGGCGATCAATGGTTCAAGACTAACCCTTATCTGGATCATATATGTCTTTTAAGTTTTCAATGTTGTAGGTGTAACATCTATGTCAAAATGATAATTTAAAGTATGAAAAAAGTAGATAATTACAGGCGTTAATGGGTAACCTTTGTGTCTAGCCCGAACTCTGTGATAGGGTAAATAGTTTGCCAGAACGGACAATATAACCCGTGAATGTGTAAAGTTTTAATTAAGAAAAAGAAGATACACACAGCCACGAAAGGTTTACACGGAATAAGGGTTGTACGATCCTCTGAATTAACATTTTTCTATCTGGGTAACGCAATAGGGTTTTAAAAAAGATAGAAAAAAAGAACTAAATATATTTGATGACCTATCACTTCTCACTGCACATTTAAGCTCCTCACCAGAGTTTGATTGTACCACAATTTAGACATTTAAATGGTAAGCAGTGCTTAACAATTAATAACAAATTATATTTAATAATAAACCAAAAATATCGAAAAACATGCATAAAAAGTTTCGGTATGTGCGGCCCGGTTACGTTTTTCGCAAGCAAAACCTCTTCAGAGCGGTCTAGAAAAGGGCGCAAAATATCAATTAAGCTCATTCTTATTTAAACATCCAACGATGCAACCACTGCTAACCTCTACTTTCTTCCTGCAGCTTTGCACAACAGTTCTTACAGCCCTCGCGGCACTGGCGTCAGCTGGCTTCCTTGGAGGATACGGAGGAGGCTACGGTGGAGGCTACGGTGGAGGCCACGGCGGGGGCTACGGTGGTGGCTACGGTGGTGGCTATGGTGGTGGCTATGGTGGAGGCCATGGCGGCTTCAGTTCTGCCATCAGCTACCACTACGACAATCAAAAGGCTGCGCCGCATTACTTTATTGGTGGATACGGGGGACATGGTGGATATGGCGGTGGCCTTGGATACGGAGGAGGTCATGGGGGCGGCTACGGTGGCGGCTACGGCGGTGGCTACGGCGGTGGCTACGGCGGTGGCTACGGCGGCTACGGAGGCGGCTTTGGAGGTCACGGGATCGGTGGCTACGGCCTCGTACATGGTTATCACGGCTAAAAGAGGAGTCGTATAGGTAAGTGATCTAACAGTGGTTTTTAGTATAATATCCCGGTCAGACGGGCACTTTGAAGGCTTTCAGAACGAATGCCTTTAAAGGGACACTGACAGAGTATTTTTGCTCATTAAAGTTTTCATTTGTAAATGATATATGAGAACCCAACTACCCAGAACACAATTTACGCCTCAAAATTTGTTTTCTTTCCACACAAAAACCATCGATTGAGAACAGGCTAAAATTTAGTCAAGCTCACTCTCTTTTCCGTGGTCACGAGCCGTTTTCTATGGTTTAGACGCAACCACGAAAGAAAATTGAAGTCGAGGGTCAACGAAGGCACACACTCAATACTATAAATTGGCAAAAAGTATGATACCCATTTTTCGTGGCTTCTAAAACGTTGCAAATACGTTGATTAAAAGAAAAAAAAAAAAAGCTGCGCAGCCACGTGACTTCCGGTAACATTCTCCTCCTCTATATTTCTTCTTCTTCCCCAGTTCATTTCGGTTTCGAGCAGTTGCGTTTTTTTACTTTATTACAAATATACGTGATGCTGTAGCAAAATATTGATTGGGTAGTCTTCTGACACCAGTATGGATCAAATGAAAAAGAAAATTGGGGTAGTCAGTGTTCTTTTAAAGAATCGGCGATTCATCTCGCGATCTGGCGCTTGTCGGCGACCGCTAGTTCGCCGACCCTTTAAGAGAGTTCGTTTTGTTGGCCTTAAACAGATGCATTATGAGGCGCTTGAGAACTTTAAACCGGATAGCTCTTACAAAAATCTGTGGTGCTTTTTTGTTGAAAGGCTTTTGAAAAAAGTCATCAGAGGATATGAATGTCAATAGCTTTCCATCTGACTTTCGCTAGCTCTTCTGTTGACTTTCTTTTAAATATTGACCCACTATTAATAAAAAAAAACTTTCTGTCGCCTCTAAGATGCTTTTTCTGTGGCTTTTCAATTGAAAAGCTACAGAAAAGTAGTCATTCAACAAAGCTTGCTACGGCTTTCCACTCAGCTCCAAACTGGCTGCAGCATAATAGCGTAAAAAGAACGCGAATATTTTTTTCTTTGGATTTTGGATTTTATTAGGATATGGTGTCCCTGTGTGTACATCCCACAACTACACATGAGAAACGAACAGAAACACAAACGACATGAGGCACTGAACACCTGAATCACCGTCCCATTGACCGCATCAGAGCTTTATATAGCCTACATGTTGAAGGTAATCATTTGGCCGGTGACCACCTCAGCACGTATTAAGACTCCAAGTACCCGATCTCTTTCTCGGGAGTCTGTTGAAGTGAAAACCGTGTTTCAAAGTTTGTGGACGATATCTCTTACTAAAAGCGTTGGTGCAACTAATAATAATTTGTCGCAGTCGCTAAAACAACGTCCACAAAAACGGCTCCTAGAAAAAATGTTAACGCTTCTCTGTATAGCACCACTCAGGACGAAGCGAGTCAAGGGTGTTTCTCCACTTTAAAATAGTTATTTTGCTTTTCTTTTCTAGTAGACTAGTTTAAAATTGTCAATAAAGTCACTATAGGCACTTTAAAACTGAGAACGGCACGGCGTGTCTTTCGAACCCCTGGCCTCCATCTAGCACGCGTCCCATCCTTCCGTCGTGCTTTGACTGCACGTGCTAGCTCGAGGCGCACGAACGCCGAAGCGTTGCCAAGGGTAGCAGGCTCGCGCTGGAGGCAAGACAGCTGAAGCTTCTTCCTACAGTTCTCACCTTGTCAGAGACTATTCAGAAACTTAGTGAGTTTTGACATCTAGTTGAGGCGTACTATGCTCAAAAAAAAAAAAAATCTGCAGAAAGTTTGTAGCTTTTCTATTGACACTGGCTACAGAGAATCAACTAAACATTTTCAACACGATGTAAACAGAAAAAATCGTAAGGGTGCAGGTGAGCTGGTGAATATTAACCATGTTGAATTAACCTGAGACTGGGGTAGAAAAGAAACATCAAAACGTAGAAGAGACAGAAAATAGACAGGACGACGCCTAGACAGGACGACATCTCAGACGTCGTCCTGTCTATTTTCTGTCTCTGCTACGTTTTTATATTTCTTCTCTACCCCAGTCTCAGGTTAATTCAACATGGTTAACAATGTAAACAAAACGTCTGCAGTTATTCTGATGCCACTGTCCGTAGGAAGTCAGCAAAAAAAAATCAACAGAAACTTAATAGAAAGTCAACAGATTTTCTTTCAACTCAGGCTGAAGAAAATCACCAGAAAAATTTAAACACAAAATCAACAAACTTTATTGTTGATCATGTCAGCTGGAAGTCAAAGTCAGAAGGAAGTAATCAGAGTCAACAAGAAGTGAACACGTTGCCAATAAAAAGTCAAAAATCATTTTTATATCGCAGCGTTTAAACATTGCTAAGGCAGACTTAACACACTTTTGCGCGTTTTAGGCCAGTGCACATGTATACACCACAGAGCCTTCTGGGCGCTTTTGGTCGACGCTGGAGATGGTGCTGACCTCTCTGGTGCAGCGCTGATCTCGTCATACATTAGTGATTCCGCACTGCTTCGGTGCAAAGTTACGTTCAAACCAGGGTTGCATCAGCGCTGTTTCCTGTGTTGGTTTAGCGACGCGACGGATCTGTCACGCGGCTTTTGAGGTCTCGTTTCGAAATTTTCTAAAATTCACTATAATATTGATATTCTAATTTGGTCTCACGGTTTTCGCAATTTGCGTAGCCTTGTATTTATTTCAGGAGCCATTTTTATACTGTAGTCGCGAACAACTTTATTAGCGCAGGTTGCGGCGAGTTCCAATCATCTTTATATCGCTCCCTAGTCCATGACATTGTGGTATTACTCGATAAGAACGCCGAAGTACAAATCACCATTAAAAAAGAATAAAGGCAACAAGCAGCACCCTGCGTTTCATAAACTGTAAGTTATGTCACTCTTAAGATTTGAGTTTCCCAAAAATGGTGATTGATTATCTGCTTCGTCGCCAAGGTAGTATTTTTTTTAATAGGAATGGAGATCTAAAACCTAATTTGGGATGAAAAACATGCGAGTTGTTTATAAACGAGGAATTTATAAATAATTGTATTACTGCCCTGGTTCTAGCCCAGACTCGTTTTGTATACCTTTAACGACTGTTGAAGCGATTTTTTTTTCTGTGAGCTCTAACGTTCCGTAGAGTGTTTACGTGAAATGTAGTATCTATTTGTACACATCTGAAAGAAATTACCCTGGGGCCCGCAATTCGTTTGTGGTTTGCATGCTTGGGTTAGCGACGTTGGGCCTGGCTAAGTCGCATCCGCGGTAGCCAGACTGATGTACGCGGAGTTTTTTCACCGCTCAGGGTGGCCGGACCTGTTTTTGTAGCGCGGTTACAGAGGTTGGAAACTTCTATATCTGCACTGAAAAAAAAAAAAGGCCCACAAAAGCAGTCTAATAAGTTAAAAAAAAGAGTATAGTGTCTTCCAATGGGTCCACGGGTGCGCACTCGGTGCGCGCCGAATCGCTATCGCATCCTCCGTTGAACCGCACTCCACCAGGGCAGGCGCACCGAGTGACTTTCATTGGCGGCGCGCACGGCACGCGTTGGCAGGGGTGGTAAAAAATCGACACGTCTGCTTAAAGTTCAATATGGCGGCGCGTCCATTCGGAAAAAGAGGTTACGGTTCTGATATCGCTGTCAGGCCGTCTTCACGATAGAGAAACCTTGAGGTGTGGGTTGTTCGTCCATCGCCGCGGACATAATGCCATGAGCTAGGAGGGGTGCGTTCCCCATTTCGATTCGGCGCCCCCTTCAGCTTGATGAACGGCGATTAAGCGAGAAAGTTTTGAGCGAAGAGCTTTTACCCTTATAAAAATGCGACAAATGGAAGTCATTTCGCGTGTGGTCATCGCAAAAATATGCTTTTCTCGTTGTCCAAAATTAGCTTGCTTGGAAGTGACAATTCTTGCTAAAGAGCGAAATGACTGGCTACGAATCGACAGCTAGAAATTGCGTGACAGCGGTATAGCAGCGTTCGATTAGCTTCCGAACGCGAACAACTGGGTTTGGATCTCTGTCATGGGTTCGAAAGACGTATCTTGGATTTGTTCTACAATATGCATTACTAGAAGATGTCGTGACAGATGGCCAATTGAGGGTATAGCTAAAATGTCAATACGACCCGGTAAAGTATGTTTTCAACAAAACTTTACCGTAGCTCCGCAAGTCCTCGCAATCATCGTGGGTTTTGTAAGTCCTCTAAAGAAAATGGCAAAATATTCCCGTAAGACGCCCTAAATACTTTTATGATTCATGGGCCTGAGCAATATATAAGGCATGAAAACTCAGAGCCCGTCGTTTCCCGGCCAACACCGAACCTATATAGATGGCGCGATAGTAGCAGCTGACCTGTGGAAGGTTTTCTTTCCAAATTGAAAACTGCACTCGCGCCGTCCGCAACGTATTTTGGCTGCACGACGCCCAATGGAGTTTGCCATTTTTTTTTTCACAACTCTTTATTTTGTCTACTCTGTATTTTGGGTGTATTTCAATTGTGTGTGCATAACCCAGTAGGCTTTCGAGCTGTTGGTTAGCACAAGAGAAAAATAAACATTGATTGATTGATTGATTGATTGATTATTGGAAAGTTTTCAATTTCCCGGAAGTGGGGGGGGGGGGGCGATGTCCAAGATTCCTCTCCCCCTCTCCCCCTCTCCCCCTCTCCCCTCTCTCTCCCCCTCCCCCTTCTTCGGGAAAGACGTATTACCCGGTTACAAATCCTATTTCGTCTTGTATATAATTATTCGAAATAAATCAGTTTGTAGTGCAACATGGTAATGAGAAGGCGAGCTCTAGATACAGGAGCTGCCGAATAAATATGCGAGTATGCTTAATTTAGTTTTGCCATCTTGTCGGTTTTGATCGGAAACGCTACTTTATGCGTATTACTCTGTCCTAGTACTAAAGTAGCAATTACTAACGTTTTTCTCTTGCGATATTGCTGGAACAGTATTACCATGCGAGGTC